TTCTTCGATGTGGACATCGTTGTTTCAGGTTCCACGCTTGCCTGTTCTTCGTTCAACGATAGCGATCGTCGCCGTTCCGGAACATCTTCTGGCTTCACATCCTCGAGTCCTAGTGATCCTTTGATAGCATGTATGGCAGTGTCAAACGATGGCATTGCTGGAAGATGAAACCTTCCTTCTTTCTTCGATGTGGTCATCGTTGTTTCAGGTTCCACGCTTGCCTGTTCTTCGTTCAACGATAGCGATCGTCGCCGTTCCGGAACATCTTCTGGCTTCACATCCTCGAGTCCTAGTGATCCTTTGATAGCATGCATCGCAATGTCAAACGATGGCATTGCTGGAAGATGAAGACCTCCTTCTTTCTTCGATGTGAGTGTCGTTGTTTCGTGTACCACAGTTGTTTGCTCTTCATTCAACGATAATGATCGTCGCCGTTTCGGAACATCTTCTGGCTTCACTTCCTCAAGTCCTAGTGATTCTTTGATAGCATGTATGGCAGTGTCAAACGATGGCATTGTTGGAAGATGAAGACCTCCTTCTTTCTTCGATGTGAGTGTCGTTGTTTCGGGTACCACAGTTGTTTGCTCTTCATTCAACGATAACGATCGTCGCCGTTTCGGAACATCTTCTGGCTTCACTTCCTCAAGTCCTAGTGATCCTTTGATAGCATGTATGGCAGTGTCAAACGATGGCATTGTCGGAAGATGAAATCGTTCTTCGGTCTTCGGTGTACGAGTTGTGGTTTCAGCGTGAGCAGCCGTTTCTCCTGCATTCAACGAATCTGATTTTATGCGTATCACAGAGTCGTTTATGTTCGGTTGATCAAATTCTAGAGTTTTGGTGACTGTTTTCATTGTAACATTGTCTTTCGTTTCGGGTAGCGATAGATGCAAAGCTGGGATCAATGTACCCGTTGTTGTATTCTCCACAAATTTGTTCATGTCCACGGCATCATGTTTTGTTTCTGGTGCAACCACATCTTCAATCGGAACCATTGTAGCTTTCGTGTTAACTGCGGCAGATGTCTTTTTATCTATGGCATCATGGTTGGTTTCAAATGGCCAGAGATTTTGCATCGATACTGTCTTATCTTCGACTGGCTTATCCTTATCGATCCAATGATCCTCTTGTTCCAATGCCGATGCATCTGTATCTGATACTATTTTCATTATCGTTTTCTTTTGGAGAGACTTCCCATTATCAACAAGGGTATGCGTCGTTTCCAGATCTGTTACATCTTTAATTGCAACATTTGTTAGTATCGGCTTAACGTCGGTATATTTCTCATTGGCCATGAGATCTGACTTAATTTCCGATGTCGATGCACTGAGAATCGGTGCTGTTTTTAATGTTGTTTCGACATTGAGTTTTTTGTCATCATCGATCATTATCTGCTTTGTTTCAGGAGTCGCTTCATCCGGAATTGCCACTGTTCTCACTATTGTTTTAACATCGTCAAGCTTGGATGTACTCATGGCATCGTGGTCTATTTCTGATGTCAACACGTCGACAATCGGTACCGTTGTCTCAGTTCTTGTAACATCCAAAGATGCATCTTTATCCATGGCATGAGATCCACTCGTACTAGGACTCATTTTATGTATGAATGGATCAGCAATTCTTACTGTTTTCACTATTGTTTCAACCTCGACCGCTTTTTGTTTATCTTTGGCATCCTGCGTCTCTTCTCCATCTAAAACGTCTGCAATTGCTACCGATTTTACTACTGTCTTACGTTCAAATAGTCCCTCTTGATCAATCAAATGCTCTTTCTTTTTTTCAGCTGATCCATCATCAGTGGTTAATGCTTTCATAATCGCTTCCTTTTTGTTAGACGCGTCATCCTCGACAACATCATGCTTTGCGCTACATGCTGATAAGCCAATCATAGGTACTGTTGTGTCTATTGTTGTAGCGACCGTGAGTATTTCCTTACTCGTAGCATCAGGCTTCCATTCTGGAAACGAGATATCATCAGCCCGCTCCTCCACAGCTTTCACCGTTCCAGAAACTGATTCCTCTTCAACACTATATGGCACCTTAATTTCTGGTGTCAAAATTCGGCCGAGAGGCATTGTTTCCGCAATAATTCTTTCAAGATACGTCTTAGGTTGAGAGACCATATCAGGTATTGTTTCAAAAGTGAATGGATCAGCAGTTGCTTCTAAAGTAAATTTTTTTTCAAGGTCAGCCGGTGCTTCTTTGCCTCCGATATCGTGTTGCGTTTTTGTCACAGAGTGGTCAGAGGCCGGCGGTTCTGAAACCATTGTTTTGATATTCAAGGGTGTCTCGCTCTTCCTTCCATCATATTTTATTTCGATTGGCGATACTTGCTCATATTTCTTCGAACTGACCTCGGTTGTATCCTTAATTACATGATGTTCTGCCTTCTGGGTCAATATAGGTTTTCCCCTGTAAATACTTCCGATAGGAAGCGTTTCTGCGATAATCTCTTCAAGAGAACTCTTCGGTCGACTACCCATATGCAGTTGTTTGCCAATAGTAATTGGATCAGCAGTTGGTTCCAAGATCAGGTTTTCTTGAAGCTCATTTCGTGCATCTTCGTCGACGTAATCGTCTTGCGTTTCATTCACCTCGAGCTCTGTCAACGGTACAACTCTTACTATTGTTCTGATAGTCCGAGGTAACTCTTTCTCGATGCCACCAGGATTCATTTCAGTTGATGAGATAGACTCATCTTCGTCCAAAGTGGTCCCTTTGGAATCCTTAGTAGGTACTACTTTCGCCCTATGGGTCGATGTAGGTTCCGCTATGCGAATACTTCCAATAGGCTTTGTTTCAGCGATAATATTTTTAAGAAAATACTTTGGATCCATGTCTAGATTAGGTTCAGCTTCGCCAGTTGCTACACAGGCTGTTTCGTCTAGAATGGTGCTTCTTTCACCTTCGGAAGATGCGCTCTTGTCTTGAACATCTTTCTGTGTTTCCGCTGCGTAGCGGTCTTGTGATGACAATTCTGTTACATTTATTTCAATACTCGATGGTGTGCCCCTCTCCCGCTCATCCGGCTTTCTTTCAATTGATAAAACTCGTTCACCTTCCATCGAAGTGGCCTGTGCCGTGTCCTCAAAATCTTCCAATTCCACCCCATCATTCAATGTTGGTTCGGATGCGAGAACGCCTCCGATAGGCTTTGTTTCCGCAATTATTCTCTCAAGAAAACTCTTTGGTTCAGAGACCAAATCAGTTTTGGTTTCTCTTATAGTTGGATCAGTGGCTACTTCAACATTGGGATGAGTTCCACCTTCGGAGGGTCTGATCTTGTGTTGAACATCCCGCTGTGCTTCCACCGCATATAGATCTTCTGAAGGTAACTCTGTTACAATTGTTGTAGTATTGGATGCTGTGCTTGTCTCCCGTTCATCGGGTTTTCTTTCATTTGACGAAAATAGCTCAATTTCCGTCGGAGTGGGCTCTGCTGTTTGCTGAACATCTTCGAGTTTCACCCTGTCAGTGGATACAGGCTTGGACGCCAGAATACTTCCGATACGCTGTGTTTCCACCATTACTCTTCCAAGGGCAGCCGTTGGTTGACTGACGAGATCAGTTTTGGTTTCCCGTATAGCTGGACCAGTAGCTACTTCAACATTGGGATGAGTTCCACCTTCGGAGGGTCTGATCTTGTGTTGAACATCCCGCTGTGCTTCCACCGCATATAGATCTTCTGAAGGTAACTGTGTTACAATTGTTGTAGTACTAGATGCTATGCTTGTCCCCGGGTCATCGGATTTTCTTTCATTTGACGAAATTAGCTCAGTTTCTGTCGAAGTGAGCTCTGTTGTGTGATGAACATCATCAAGTTTCACCCTGCCAGTAGATGCAGGTTTGGATGCCAGAATACCTCCGATAGGCTGTGTTTCTGCAATTATTCTCTCAAGAAAAGTCATTGGTTGAGCGACGAGATCAGTTTTCGTCGCACAGATGGATAGATCAGGTGTTGCTTCTGGAATGGTACTTCTTTCACCTTCAGAGGGTGTGCGGGTCTCCGATGCATCAGGCTCCGTTTCAATTGATAAAATTTGATCACGTTCCATTGAAGTGGCCTGGGTCATGTCTTCAATATCTTCTTGTACCATCCTCCCAGTCGCGATAGGTCCGAATGCGAGAATACTTCCGATTGGCTTTGTTTCTGCAATTATTCTCTCAAGAAAAGTCTTTGGTTCAGCAACCAGATCCGTTTTCGTCTCACGAATAG